TCACACAGCATACAAGTGACAGAGCCCATATTCTCACTCAGATCTGCCCAACTCTTAACTGTGCTCTTGGCCATCACACCTCACTCAAACAAAATAATGTAGAACCAAAGGAGGCTTTTCAAAGCATCGACCCCAATCCTCTATCCTTGGCAAATTTACAGACGTGACCACTGAGGCCTGGAAGGGTGATGACTTGCCCAGAGCTAGGTCAGAAACCAAGTCTCCTGCCTCCACATTAGGAGCTTTGACCCCGGTGCTGCGTGGCTTCCCCCTGCAGCCTTTTCTCTCGATGATATCTGCAGTAGATATCCTGCTGTTGAGTCCCTGGCCACCCCAGGGACAGAAGCCTAGTGTTGGGAAGAGCCATCGAGGAACAAGATGTGGGAGCCTGGCACCCTGCTGCCCTCCCCACCTCGGATGAAGGAGTCGAGTGGCCCTGAGACGATGGGCCTGCAGGCCCAGGCTGGAGGGCAGCATTGTGATGGGCAGTCTGGCATGGTCAGCAGCGATGCAGAACTACTCTCCCAACCACGCCCAATCTGCCGCAGCCACTGGCTTCTTCAGGGTTTCCTAACTGTCCCCATCTAGCAAGTAGCACTTCTGAGAGGACACTTCTAAAAATCAAAGCTGCCTAGCAGAGTCACAGCAGCCATGAATAGTAGGAAGTCCCCAGCACCGAAGACTGGGTGACCCTTTTGGGATTGAACAGGTGTCACAGATCAGGAGGGTTCTTTGTGTGTGTGTGTGTGTGTTGTTGTTGTTGCTATTTATTCATTTTTTTAGAGACGGAGTCTTGCTCTGTTGCCCAGGCTGGAGTGTAGTGGCGCCATCTTGGCTCACTGCAACCTCTGCCTCCCGGGTTCAAGCAATTCTCATGCCTCAGCCTCCCAAGTAGCTGGGATTACAGGAGTGCACTGCCACACCCAGCTAATTTTTATATTTTTAGTAGAGACAAGGTTTCACCATGTTGACCAGGCTGGTCACAAATCAGTTTTATGGACTAGGTGACTTCATGTGTCTCTTCCAAGTCTGGGCTTCCAAAAGGCTCCGATTCCACGTCCCCAAAGGAGCTCCTGCTCCCATCTGAGAAGAACTTGTGCCCTGGATTTTTGGGATATAGAATCAGGACACTGGGGAAAGAAAGACTCCTGAGAGGGGAAGGGGACCCAGTGAAAGGCTAATGTTAATCTATATAACAAGGAAGGGAGGGACAAATCAGAGAATGGGGGTGGGGGGCATCTTTTGGGGGTTTTGATGAGTGACAGACTTGACAAAGAAAAGCCACACAACATGGGGTGTTGATGGCTGTGGAGGGAGTCAAGTCTCTAATGTTTTTAAAGAGATGCACGTAAAGATTGGCATTACTTTTTATTGTCGTCAGCTGTTTGAGCTGCGTATCTTCGAAAGCAACTCTATGCAAACACTGATCCTTGAGGGTCTAGGATTTATAAGGGTTACACTAAGCATCCATGAATCTAAGGTTCTCTGATTTTATGTTTCCAAGATACTGACCCCAAGATTCCATGGTTCTGTGTTTCTGAGTTCTGGTGGTGGTTCTGTGACTATGAGACCGTGAGTGTATGTGAGCCCTTGGTTCCAGGATTTCCTGAGTCCCTGCTTCTCGGATTCTTTGTCTCCATCATTCCATGACTTTATGGAATGTGGTTCTGTCCCAAACAAAACCCCTGGGAGACTTAGGGCATGGAGTAGGGGGAGGGCAGAATACCTCGGCAGCCAGGACTGGTCCCCTACCCTCCTCCTCTTCTCAGGTCAAAAGGATGGTGACTGCCAGGAGGCTCGGACAGGCAGAGGGTGGCCTGGAGGGGCCAGAGGCATACATGTGGCTAATGTTGGGAGGCGGGGGAGGGTTTGCTGGAAAGCACATGATTTCTGCTAAGTCAGACTGCAAAGCCCCTGGATTTCAAGGCTGGGGAGTCTTTCCAACAGCGGCCACTGTTCCTTTTCTCCGTACCCCACTTCCTGACCTGTCCCTAAGCATACAAATATCTAGGGTGCTTGAGCCACTGCCCAGTGACTCTCTAAGGGCCCCGTGTCTGGGTTCACGACCTCCAAAATACAAGGATAGTAGGGAAAATGGGCTTGTAAGCCTCACAGCCTTTTGAGGGAGGGGATCCTGTGCCTTGAAAGGGCCTTTTGTGCTGTGGAGCCCAGGGATGGATCTGGATCACCAGGTTGGGGAGGGGTGGGAGAAGCAGGGCTCCCACAGCTCTGCATATTAAAGGGGTGAGGTCTTCAGGGTCCTTGGGGAGCTCTGAAGGGAAAGGGGAGGAACAGCCAACAGGGCCCCTGTAGCAGGAGTGACCGGTGGCGTCTTTAGATTGCTGCTGAGGTTAGGCAGCAGCAGCTGGGGTTAGGCAAGAGCGCTGGGAAGAGAAAAGGAAGAGAGCTGGGAATCAGAGGGACCCCTCTCCTCTGTCTCTCCTCTTGGAGTTCTTTGCTACATTTACCCTGAGCAAATTGGTTGAGGTAAGTAAAGCCAAGAAGGGCTTAGCTCTGCATCCAGGCCTGTGTGGCCCCCAGAGCCAGGAGAAGCTGAATTTTCAGGAATGTCAGATGCCTTTCAGCAGGGTCAGAGTCCCTCCCTTGTGCCTGCCCCCTCCCCCCAGCCCCTACCTGAGACTCAGTGCCGCAGGTATCAAAGCGGGCCTGGATCCTGAAGTTGCCGCCGACCTCCTGGGCAACACAGCTCCGGCTGCCCAGGTAGACCTTGGTCCGCTCCAGCGGGGCCAGCGCCTGCATGGAGATCAGGATCTGGAAGTCCGTGCGGGAGCAGCTCACGTTCATGGGCACCACTGGGAACCAGAGGGAGGAGCTGGAGGACTTAGGGTCAGGCAGTCTGACCCTCACCTCCCCCACACCCCCCACCCTCCCACAAAGGGTAGTGGATGGGGAAACTGAGGCCCAGAGTAGGAAAAGCTCTTATGGAATCCTACAGGGCACGGTAAGGGATATCTTAGACGGGTTACTCCATTCAACTCCATCAGACTGTGAGCTCCTCAGGGAAGGCACCGAGTCTGATTCTCTCAGCGTCCTCTGGGCCCAGCACAGAGCTTGGCAAGCCCAGTGAATGCTGAGTGAATGAATGAATGTTCTTAATAATCATAAAGTTCATCTGCTAATCTCTTGGCCATGTGCCAGGCAATTCATTTAATTATTTAACAAATATATTGATGGCCTACTATGTGCAGGCCCTATTCTCAGCACCACAAATACAAAAATGAGGAAAAAACACAGCTGAAATTCTTGCCTTGTGGAGCTTCCATTCTAGATGGGGGAGGGGGCAATTAAAGTAAAATACACCCACGTGTCAGAGTGCCCCGAAGGAAAATCAAGCAACGAAGAAAGAGCAGGAGAGTAGAACGAATTGGGGAGGAGTAAGGAAGGAGAGTTTCAGTTTTAAAAAGGGTGGCAAGGGAAGCCTCACTTTCCCTCCCTACAATGACTCCCCAGGAGGTAGATGTGACTAAACTCATTTTACAGGTTGGGAAATTGACACTCTGAGAGATGAAGTTGTTTGCAGTGGCCAACCGGGTCGACAGGATTTCAAAGTTCGTGGTCTGTTCGCCCTATTCAGCAGCCTCCTGCAGCCCTCCTGGCCAGGACGGTCGCACATGACTCACAGTGTCTGCTTTGGGTGAGCATGTTTGTGTGTGCATGTGTGTGAGTGTGTGTGTGTGTGTGCATGTGCATGCATGCAGGGGAAGGGGTGAGGGAAGGGGAAAGGAAGGCGGCTGCCTGGTGGGAGGAAAAGGAAAGAGAGCTGGCAGGGAGAGGCCTGCAACTCTCAACCCCTCTCCGGGAAATGCCTCAGACATATTTCAGCCTCTGGTGTCTGGGCAGTCAGGGATTTATGGGCCAGCCGTCTCCCACGATGATCTCGGTGGTGCTGAACTGTGTGTCACCCCCAACTGGCACTGTGGCTGCCCTCCCAGTGGGAAGGCCTCCTGCAGCCTGGGCCGCATCTGGAGCCTCGCCCAGTCTGAGTGCTCCTGTCTGCCCCTGGGCCCCCACAGGGATCTGAGGGGAAGGGATGTGGGGTGGAGCTGGAGTGGGCACTCCTGCCCTGAAGCCCCTGGAACAGGAGCTGGGATGAGAGCCCCCCCTAACTTTCTCTCCTTCTCTGCAGAAGGGGCTTGTCCTAAATCACGCAGGGCTGGGAGAGGGCCTGGGAGAGTTCTGAAAATAAGATTATCAGAGGCAAAAGGAACTTTAAAGATCTTTCCGTCAATATCCTCATCTTACAGGTGGAAAACTGAGGCCCACAGAGACACAGGGCAATGCCAGCTAGCGGAGGCAGAGCCAGTGGAGCTGGGCTCTCCAGGGCTGTGCTAACAGAGCCACAGCCCTCCCACCCCAGCTTGCAGGTGGAGCCCACCGAGGCCCGAAGGGGCTGGGCCTGCCCAAGTTCATGGCTCTGCCACAATCTTGCTGTAGCTCACCATCTCCTCCATCCCTGGCCCCAACTCCCCTTGCATATGGAGCAAGGAAAGATTTCTTAAATGCTGAATAGGCCTGAGACACCTTCCTGAAGGAAAGATGTCCTTGGATCCAGGCATTGTGACCTTGTTACTTCCTTTGGCCTTCACGACCACCTGTCTAGGGCCTTCATCAACCTCTTATACAGATGCGCCCTCTTGGATGATCAGTAAATGGCAGGATTTGGACGTGACCCTGGTCTCTCTGAGCTTAGCTCTGGGCTCCCCTCCCTCGTGCCCCTCTCAAACAAGCAAGAAGAAGGCAGGAGACTAAGTTCTAATCCTGGCTGTGCCACTGACTGCCCCTGTGGTCACAATGAAGCCTTTCCCCTCTCAGCACCTCCGTTGCTATACCTGCACAATGAGGAGCTTTGCTTGGCCAGGAAGAGAGCACGATAGGTGCAGAGTGCAGACATTTCTGCGCCCGTAGACAAGGAAGGGTGGGAGGAGGGAAGCAATGGTGGACCCTCTTGGCTGACAAATCTACACAATAATATGGAGTCTGAGAAAGCCAAATACCAGCTCCCCAGCTTCCTCTGCAGCAAGGCAGGGCCGTCTGACTGAGTTCAAACTGTTTGGACATTTTGTAAAAGTCTTGTGAGAGGTTCTAAAGACTCTTTTGCTTTCTTGATAAAGAGTCATTTGCAGCTGGCACTTCCCTTGTCCTCTCTAGCCTTGAACATGAATGTGATGCCTGGAGCTATGGCAGCCATCTTGTAGCTGTGAGGCTCAGAGAGTCCCAGAGATAACACTTGGAACAGTGTTGAGCCCCTGGACCAATGCAGCAGCTGCCTAGCTCCAGGCTTCTTGTTGAGTGAGGAAAAACAAGCACCATTTTTTCAATGAGTAGTTCTGAATGATACAAGCAGGGCTGGTAGGCATCCCTACGGTTATACCAATTTTTTTGCCATAAACAATACTAGCATATTTTTTCTATTTCCCCTGGATACAGGGCACCAATAACAACACAAGAGGGGCCAGGGGCCCAGGGGGAAGGAACCAGATGGGGAGGGGTGAGGACTTGTGAAGTTAGGAGCTCGGGAAGGAGGCTCTGCAATAGTGGAAACAAGCGGGAGCCATGCCATCCAGTCTCAGGGGTCCCGAGAGTGGGCAAGGGTGTAGCCAACGGAAAAGGCACTGGAGAAGACCATTCATGGGGGGCAGGACAAACTGGTGGGATGGAGGAAAGAGGCTGCAAAGACTGAGGCTGCAAAGCCTCCCCTTCCCCCTCAGTGGACCCACTCCCACAGCCCAGCTGACCTCCGATGTAGGCCACAGAGAAGCCCCTGCGGGTGGTGCTGCGGTCCGTGTGCAGCAGAAGCAGAAGCTGGTTGTGGCTTGAAGTGACAGGTGGTGGCAGGTGGTGTCCACACCAATTCCCCAGCAGGGGTGCCTCCTCACTGGGCCCATCGAAGGCTGCCAGATGGTCAAAGTCACAGGTCTTGGTCAGGCTGTTGGGCTCCTCCAGGTCCAGGTCCAGGAAGAATACCTTGACCCGGTAGCCCGGGGGCAGGCGGATGGTCCAGTGGCAGCGGATGTTGTTGGGGTAGGAACTGGGGTACCGTGGGCTGGAGAAGTTGCCCCGCATGGTCATGTATACCTCCTGGCATTGTCCTGAGTGGGGCAGGGGGAGGTGGGAGGAGCAACAGTGAGGGGAGAGGAGAAGTCACCATCTGCAGTTACAGCTTAGGCAGCAGGTGCCACAGTGGTCCTAAAACCACCAGGCAGGTTGTGGGCACCATGGCTAGCAAACCAGACAATTGATCCCAACTAGCTGAAAGTTGGGATGCTTGATCCCAAAGCTTGTTTTAAACTGCAACTTGCTGAAAGCTGGGACTTGCATTCCAACTGACAGTCCCCATCACGGGTGTAGGCCCTGTTAGGAATTCACTAATAATACACAATACCTGTCCTCAGAGTTACCTCCAAACTCCCTGGCTTGACAGATGATGTGGTTCATGCCTGGCCTTCCCCCTTTTCTCACTGCCCCATTTGGTATGTACTATGAGCATACCAAACACTCCTTGCCCTCCAGGCTTTTGCACATGCTGTTCCTCCTGCTTGGAACACCCTTCCCTTCTGCTTCCATCTAACTCCTTCAGGGTACTGCTCAATTCTCTCCTCCACGAGGTCATCCATGATTCTTACTGATGGATAGCACAGATCATAATGGCTTGCATTGTCTGTTTCCTTATAATCTCTCTAACTAGACTACAAACTTCCCATGACTTCATCCATTCATTTGTACAAATACTCAGTACCTACTATGTGCCAGGTGCAAAGATAAGCCCATAAGGGACTCAGTCAGACCGGGGAGATTGACATGCAAACCACATACAGAAGAGACAAATGTTAGATCATAGTGTAAAAAACTTCTATAAGGAGTTGAAAAAGGGATCAATTCTGGTAAAACAGGAAGTTTTCGCAGAGGTGACATGCTTATGTCTTGGCACTGGCCAAGGGTATGCTAGAGCACTCCAGGCAGAGACAGTGCAGAAAGCCCAAGGCCGCTGGGGGGCAGAAAGGTGTGATCCCTGCAAGTGTAATGGGAAGATAGGAACCCAGTAGGCACAGGAGGATTCGGGGTGGAGCTCCAGCCCTTCCTACCTGAGAAGTAGTAGGCCTTGAAGCCACGGCCTCCGATGTTGAAGTCGGACTTGAAGATCACCTGCAGTTCGTGGCCCAGAGACACGAGGGTGGGGGGCCTGGTGCTGCCACAGTAGTGGTGCCCACGGGTGGGGCCAGGCCCCCCAAGCACAGCCACATAGTCATAGGTGCACTCCTCATTGCCTTCCACTTGGAAGTCCACGAACACCAGCTTGACACTGGCAGGGCCAGCGGCCCGGATCACCCAGTGGCACTCCATGCTGTTGGGGTAGTTGTTGGGGTACTCAGGGCTGGTGAGGACCCCCGACAGGCCAGTCAGGACGCCGCCACACACATCTGCAAGGGAACCCACTTAAGCTGACCTTTCTTTCTCCTTGTGGTTCCCAATTTCCTCCCTTGAGAACCAGATACCCCAACATGCTGCCCCCAGAGGTATCTCATGAGGGTCTCATTACCATCCACCAAGCACCTGCTACCCAAGTAGCAAGTGTAGCACGTGCACAGGCCTAGCACTTGGCACCTAGGCTGCCTGTTCAAATCCTCAGACTAGCCCCACAAGGACTGTGCTGCAGTTTCTCTGATTTTATAATTAAGAAAAGGGAGGCAAAGAGAAGTTCAGTAGCTTACTTGAGTTTATCCCAGGCAGACCCTGAGATAAGGATTTGAGTGCAAGGAGTTTGCTTGGGAGATCCAGGGGCCCCCAGGTGGGGAGGGAGGGAGTGGACACAGAAGGGGAGGTGTGTTCAAGCCAACTGCTGACCTGCAGGGGAACTCTGGGGACAGGGTAAAGCACACACTTCAGAGTTCTGTCAATCTAGGAGCAAGGGAGCTGCGGTATTTATATGCCAACTCCCCAGAGTGCAGGCGGAGGGCTGCTGTGGGCTGGGAGTGACCTACTGAGACTTCAGAAAAAACCCTCCAACAAAGAACTGTGGAGGTTGGCAGAAGCACATTGAAGTGGCAGGGCCCAAGGAACATGGTCAGGCCCTTGAGAGCAGTCACCCGACTGGTAACTGAGAAAGTAGGATTTGAACCCAGGAAGACTTACTGTGGACCCTGTGCACTTGACCCTTGTGACCTTCACTGTCCACTCCTATGAGGCACAGTGGGGCACAGAGGCTGGGGTGCCTGAGCTCAGGAATGTAATCAAACCTCTTTAACAGATGAAGAAACCGAGACTTAGAGAGAGGACCTGATGAAGTAGAGTTTGGTTTGACATCTGAAGACAAGGAGTCTCCCATCTCTGCCTTTTATTAGCTGTGTGACTCTGGGGAAGTAACCCCGCCTCTCTGAGCCTCATTGGAACATTAGAAATCATAAGACTGAACCAGCTTGATCCACTGGGCTCAGACTTGAGCAGAGTCAGAATATGCTGCTGGAAACTCTCAGGAAGCGAGCTTGGCCAGTACAACACACAGCAAGTGTGGGTGAATGCCAGGACTTGCCGGAGGTCACCAGCAGGGAGGGCACATGTGGGATGTGTTTCCTGAGACTCCAGCGTCTCACCCTATGGCACAGCTGTGTGACCAGGGCTCTGGATGCGGCGTCTGAGGACTTGGTGTCTTTTCCCAGTGCTGGCCCAGCCGTGTGACTTTATGAAGGCCCTCTCAGGTACTCAGATTTTGTGAAATGAGAGGGCAGGTTTAGATAGCCTGTGAGATCCCTTCCAACACTAACAACCCTCACAGAGACTTCCAAACTGTCCCCTGGGGCTCCCCAGCAGCCCCCTGGAGCACCTGCTGGCACCCGGTGCAAATTTCATTCTTATGCTGTATTTCAAGCTCTCTTTTAATGTAATGAAAAGACAGCACCCACAGTTTTTAATGTCTTTAATAAGATATCAAAATTTAAATATTCTACATTTAAAAATTTAACTCATTGGAGGTCATCCATATTTATTTGTGTTTTTAATGATTGGCTTATAAGAAGTTAAAATATGAATTTACAGGCTGGGCATGGTGGCTCACGCCTGTAATCCCAGCACTTTGGGAGGCCAAGATGGGCAGATCACGAGGTCAGGAGATCGAGACCATCCTGGCTAACACAGTGAA